GCCCGAAGTCAACTAAAGGGCTAATGATAACTACCAAAATACCTGCCATTTGAACTAAATGAATAAATACCAAGAAGTACCAATCAAAATTCGTGTTTCTTTGAAATATTTATTTTGCCAGTTAAGTCCGCTCATATCAACTGAAAGATTATGGGCCAGTAAGATTGTTACAGGACCCTATCAAATAGATGCCAAGGTAGTAATTAAGATGATCGAATCTAATAGGTAGTCCCCAGGGCACCTAGTGATTACATCTTTATGTGGGACCTTGATTGTTTGATAATTAATAACAATAAAATCTGCTATTGTAAGCAGGGTTCAAAAAGTTAGTCGTCATTTTTACTAAGATGACCATACCATTGCTAGGTGATCAGATAAGAATATGACTTTCCAAGTGAAAATGAAAAAAATGAAGTGATTTACGAGTGTCTAGACGTTAAATGTCGCATAAAAGGAGAGAGAGCATCAGTGAAACGGAAGTTGTGCAGAGTTGCCTATGGCGATCTCTTTTTTCCGCATTAGGCGCTCATAGAATGTGGTACTTGATTTAGTGCCTTAATAATAGAGCCAATTTGATTGGCTGATGTGATCAAAGGCAATGGGTGACCTTGTTCACTTGTTAATGACAATTATCTCCACCTTCATGATAGACTTTGTCAACGCGTACATGTTCTGACATAACTGACGTTTCTACCGTGATTTATATTAATTAGCTGCAAAAACATTTATATCATTAATTAAAATGGTAATTAAGAAATTAAATATGCCCTTCCTAAATAGCGTATGATGTAAACAGGACCGTCCTCTCTTATTGTAAATGGATGGCCAAAGTTGCTTTATTCACTACCCGATAGACTTACCTCCACGTGGTACACCCTGGACAACGTATACTCATACGGCAAGAGCCTATAAACCGGCATTTGACTTCTGACTTCTAACTACCATGGCCCAACTGCTTGTCATATTCGACCCCTTTCACAGTACTCATCTTACCTTTTTCTCTATCTTTGTGTCTGTCTGCCTCTTTTACATCCGTGAATCGCTCTTCTCTTCCCCACCCCTCGACTTACTGCTACTCTGATGAACCTTCCCTCTGTGAAGCCTGAAGTCAGCTAAATGGCTAATGATAGCTATCAAAACGCCTGCTATTTGTTATAAATAAATAAATAAACCACCCGAATTACCTCATGGTATGCTTGTCATGGGTGATTAAACTTGATGGATCTATTAGTAGGGAAGTATTTATGTCCCAGAATTTATCACTTACTGCTGGCAGCCAATGTTCACGCATTTTTTCTACTGTCAGGGGGTCAATGTGAACTTTCTCTTGTCCCACTGTGGGTTCTCATTAGTCCCCTCTCGTTTGCTCACACGAGCTTGTTGGACACTTTTGAAGTTCTTGTCAATTGAGGGATACCTATGACACATACATAATCCGACGGCTTGTGGACAATTTTCTGAAAGCTCTATTTGACATTTAAACCGGGGTATGCGATAGACTTACCTCCACGTGGTGCACCCTGGGCAACTTATACTCATACGGCAAAAAATTCTATTAACTGGCGGTTAACTTCTGACTTCAAACTTCCATAACCCCACTGTATGTCATATTCGACCCCTTCCACAGCACTCATCTAGCCTTTTCTCTGCCTTTGTGTCTGTCTATTACATCTGTGAATCGCTCTTCTGTTCCCCCCTCTCGACTTTCTGCTACTTTGATGTTCCTTCCCCTCTGTGAACCCTGAAGTCAACTAAAGGGCTAATGGTAACCATCAAAACGCCTGCCATTTGATATAAATAAAAAAATACATTTAAACCCGCCCACTTATTTTAAGGGCAATAAAAGTGAGTTCAAGAGATTCCAAATACTTTAAAAGTTGTCATTTTTCTCTTTAGTGCGATTAAAAATTAGTGGATTGACTAGTCACTTTCCTGATTGCAGATGTTGAAACTTTTTTTCGTAGTCAGTCTACGAAATTGATATTCACCAAATCCTAACTTGAGGTGACACTTGGTTGGTTGGCTCTGATTAAAATATTGAGCTAAATTATATTAATACCGAAATTAAGGCAGCATTTCATGATTGCTCCTGAAAAGTATGAAATATAACGTCATCGAATGTGAATAATCAGGCCTCCCGTCATATTTGAGTTCAGTATTTTCATCATAATTTTCTCACTATTTAAAGTTAATTTGAAGACAGATGTATTTCTTCTATGGCTTCTATTGAAGTCTTATTCCCAGTTTTTTTAATTAACTTAATCACAATAGATTTGAATGGAAAAATTAGAATGTTATTGAACTCAGAAATTTTACTGTATCTTAAAAATCGTGGTAAATTAGCACAAAAGTTTATTTAAGTTGATTGTGAAAAATTAACACTCCAATTTGAATGACTGGGAAGGAGATAATTTTTAATTGGCTAGTAAAATGGGATTAATTTGTTGTTATGGAAATTGGAAATCTAATAACATTGACTAGAGAGTGTTTCAACTAGTGCCATTTCGGATAAAATGTTATATGCTTTCGATTTAAGGTGAATTATATTTAAATAATAATAAATAAACATTTAGTTGAAATATCAGTAATATAAATTAATTCAGTTTTATTTAATTCCAAAAAAATTAAATCTGAATATCAATTTAATTCATCAAATCCTAACTGCATGAAGTTAAAGAGTTTGCTTACATTCTAAATTATTTCCAAATAGATCCATTTACATTATCTCTTTTACTGACTATTGTGATTGCCGTAAAATTATTTATCAAGCAAAAAGTTCTTCCCGAGCAACAGAAAATTTGTTATAGAGATGATTTGATGATAATCAAAATAATGTTGCTATGTTAATAATACTTATTAAGAAGAAATCGTAATGGCAAAAATACTGATATGAGCGCCATCGTGATGCACATAACATTATTTATAAATTCAGAAATCCTGATCGCGGGGTGTATCAATTATTCGCAATCACATCTGAGTACGTCAGCTAAGTAATGCATTAACAGTCATCAATGATTATTCAAGAGATACATTCGATAAAACGAAGATCGCACTCATACTCCAAAGAGTCCCCACTCTCTCTCTCTCTCTCTCTCTGCCAATCACAGCAATCTCTATTTTTAATCCAATTAAACAATTCAAGTGGAGTAATCACACACATCTAATTGGCAAACCCTTGAATTGCTTTCTTACCTTGATACCTCGTCAATACTCGCTACTGGAACTCAGTCACATTGTAGTGAGTTATAAAAAGCACCACCCTTACTACCCTTAAAGTCATCTTCAGTAGCAGAAATGTCAATAGCAATCAGTCATGATCCCCGTTACTATGGCCGACGTAAATTCAATGGAATTTTGAGGAATCCCCCTGAGTGTTCCTGTACAGCTACCCTTGTCGATCGAAAATTCGTGGCTTCTAGCGGTCCGCCTCCACCTGTAGATGCACAAAGGCTGGCTCGAACTTTGACCTATCAAGTTGGATCATCTAGAGCATATAATCTTTGCGTCTATCCAGATCGGATCCTTTTTCACCCCCTCTCACGAGGACCTGGTCTAGCAGACATTCATTACGATGATATAGTCCAAATTGAGATGGTCTATAGGAAAGATAATCTTCTATTTATTCTCTGCGGTAGACGTGGAATCGGAACGTATTTCTTTTTCAGACTTTCAGATGAATTTGTAGGAGAGAGAATTAAAGCTATAGCCAGTCGTACTTACCCTAATCTTAACAATCCTCGACCCACAACTAATACTTCAAGGAATTTTCCCCAAAGGAGGTTTGGTGGCCGTTCCTCGCCAGCTGAGGACATCTACGAGAGTGGTCACCCTATAGTAAGTAATAGGTTCCCCCGAGAACATAGTGCTCCTGCTTCCTCATCCTCTTCCCTATCCAGTGATAATATTTATGCACGTCCCGCGAAGGATATTCATCGTCAAAGCTCATACATTCGATGGGAAGGATATCGTCCAAATAGAATTCAAAGCCAAGGTCGACAACCAAGACAACTCTCTGCTCCAAAAAGAACTCCTTCAATAAGAGTCTTTCGGAGTCCATCCAGATCAAGATCAACAAGTCCCAGAGACACTGATAATGGAGAGGTGCTTTTCATTAAGGCTCAAGGAAGACGGTCAATGCGAAGGAGGCAAAATCCGGCAAAGAGTAAGCGAAAGCCCTTGTTAATCTTGGAGGGCAATCGGTCGTATTCCAAGCCTGTGGCTAAAGCTGGTTATGGGCATAAAAAGAAGAGAAGATCATCTCAAAGTGGGTATCAGCCAAGACCAAGAAAGACCTCGCCACCTGTTAGGCCAAAAACTTTCATCTTGCAGCCGTCCTTGCAATCCAACTGCGATGATTCAATAGATTCTGAGTTGTCCAACGAAGTTCCAACTGGACGACGTCGTCATTCGAATGTGGCCAACGTTGAGACAATTCGATATAGGAATCAAAATCCGCATAAAGCAAACGATTGGGAAAGTACAGACAGCTGGGATGTCTTCGCTGGTAAAGCACCAAATCAACCGAGGATAAATATTTACAAAAATCCTGGCGCCGGTGTCCCAATAGATGAAGGCTATGTGGCAGATAATATATCCACTTCCTCTGAGGATTCTTTATACTTAGAGAGGGAACAGGAGATTGCTTCCTACTTACCAAATCGTCAGACCAACTACTTTCCCGATATCCAATCGAAATTTCACCAAATTAACCTAAATTAATGTTTACCAATGCAAAGGGTTTGGGATATATATATGCATATATTTATTCATACACTCGTTTTTTTTCACCCATGCTCGTGGGAGAAAAAGATATTTTGCTTAAAGATTCTCATGTATATCTAACAAATTGTTTTCAGTTAACACAATTGCAGTCTTTATGTAATTTGCATATTTTCTTAGTGCGATCTGTAAAACATATTAAATGCAAGCCCCGAAATATGCTTCGATTAATTTAAATGCTTTTACTTATTTAAATAAAATTTTTTTAAAAAAATGCTATTTTTATCTCTTTAAGACTATATTAAGGTATATATTGAATTGTCTTCAATCTGGAGGCCACACTCCCTTATAATACTCGAGCTTATTTGGTTACGTGTATATTAATCTTTTTACAACCAGATGGCTTCAATGTGGAACGCGGTTTAAATGAGGTACGTCAATATCGAGTAATTTACTGGGAGCAGGTTTAATTATTCCAATATGTGAAATGACATATCACTGTCATGAAGTTTGTTCTGCATTCAATTCCAATGTGGAAGTATCGGTCAGTAACTGGCTCTGAATTTCAGTTTTTAATTAGTGAATAATGGCCGAATAGGAACCCAAGGATAAAGTAGGGAGGTTCGAATAATTAATGACCGGTCATAGTATTTAAAGCAGTTTTTTGTTCGTAATTTGCTTAGTGTCCATTAAAAGCAGTTTACCCCATGTAGATTAAGGGAAGACCAGTGTGCTCATCATTCTTCTCCTGGACCGTCCCAGAGCATTCCACATTTTAGCTAGAGACGGCTACCCATTCATCTGCATGCGCGTCCTTGAAGTCATTGAACATGACTACTACATGACTACCATCTAGCCGTCATCTTTTCTAATACTTTAGAATGCCCATCTTGCCGAAAGATGGAAAATTACTAACCAAATATCACCAAGGGTAGAGTGACAAAGTCGAATATGCTCATTTACTAATCTTTCATTCTATTTGAGTCTTCCAGTTATGAAATAGTATGAACAAATGGAATTCGGAACCTTTAGAATGTCCTATATTAGTGAATATTTACACTTATTATATTTTGCCTAGTAATCATCATTGGTACTTCCGACATCTTTAATAAAGAGGTATGTGGGTTTTATCTGCCTCCTAATTAGTCAACAGAGCTGCACTGAAGTGACGTAATTACATGAAAAAAGTTAACAACAGTCAATTCATCTAGATTCGTGTGTGTTCGGTTATGGCCACAAAATATTCTATTTAGCTGTGTATATCTAAATTCATTGGTATAGAACACAGTCTATATATATATATATATATCTGCTGTTATCTGTTAATGGATTGAGCAAAGTTTCGTGAAATCTAAGCCTTTAACAATTGTTTCATTCATACCATCGGTTGATAAATAGTTAATTTACTAATAGCAAAGTGCAATTAGAACTACCAACCTGACAAGGGTTCCTAACAATCCAATTACATATAAGCCGCAATAAATCATTATAACATGAGTTAATTAATTTTAATAACGCATTGTCTGACCTTGAGATGAAGATTATGCAATAAAGTAGTTTCACTTCTCAGAGCAGTAAATTAACTACTTTAGGGATTATTAGTCTTGAAATAATAATAATAAACCCTAATCGGATATTAATGATTAAATTCAAATTGTGTTTTGAAGTAGATTAAAAAACCCTGATCAAAGTGTTCTTTTACTGAGTTGAAAATATGTTGATGATACGGACAAAGTTTGCACATCTGATGCAAAATAATAATTTGCATAATTCTTGCAAAGATTCATTAACACGTTTTACACATATGGGATAGAATCGCTACTTCAGTTGTGCTTAGTTCAGATGATAAAACGGTTCCATTTGGTTAAAATATTTCTCATGATGAGAGCAAGGCGATGACTGAAACATTCGTTTATTTACACAAAAATCGTACATCTCAAACCCTCCCCAACCCCCCCCCCCCCTTCCCTCAAGTATAGGATTTTTGGAAGATCAGATTGTCTTGTATTCTCCTGGCATTCATCATACATTACCCAGATCCATTCTTTAGGAGTGACCACTAACTAACCGACCTTTGCCAACAATCTGATCATTTTTTAAACTTACTCCTTTAGGAGCAGTAGAACATCTGAATAATATTCCGATACTTTCCACCCTTTAACTGTATTTTTTTCACAAATAAAACCAATTTAGCCTACTATTATTTGAGGAAGGCATTCCCAATCACATTTTAATATTTATATAATTTGATTTTGAGAAAAAAACAATTAAATCAATTCACTCGGGATGGTGTAATTGTTATGCAGATGTCATGAAATAGTGAAAACCAATTTTATTTCTAAGATAAACGAGATGGTGTCATGATAAATTGATATCTCCTTATTGTTTGAATGAGATCCACTAAGAAATATTTTAGTATTTCCATCTATTTTAAATAAAATTTTTAAATGGCAAATGATAGCTATCAAAACGCCTGTCATTTGAACTAAATAAATTATCATCGTAGTTATTTTTCAATGATAGGTCTCTTCTCCAAAAAAATTGATTTTTATTGGAGATATGCACACGTTTCCCATATCAAATTTACTCTGACGAGAGAGAGAGTTAAAAAATTTGAAAACCACAGTAGACATCAAGACTATTAAAAAAATTACTGTGTGTAGAGCCTGACACGCATCTAACGCAAACTAACTTTACTCAACTCCATTTAAATAATTAATCTCAAGGTTGAAATTACTCTTTCATGGAAGCGTAACTAAATCCGCCCTATCAGAGACCTGAAAATTGGGTATAGTTAATTGATTTTTTTACATTTTTCTGATATTTGGCAATTAAGAAAGCCTCCGTAAAATTTGTTTTCTTTTACATCATTCAACACACTGAGGGATGTGCAATCTTCGATTAATATAATTAAGTTAGAGAGAGACTTAAAAGGCTTCATTTTGGTTTTCCATTATGGATAAGGTGGTACATGCCAAATCTCACGTAAACTCTGTGAATTAATAAAATTACACGAAAGGGAACGTCTCCAAACGAAGGCTTTCAATACATTGGATTCGCTCTGATTTTGATCACAAATGTAATCATAATTGTTTAAGTAATGCTTTGAAAAGCAAAAAACCAATACTAATGAATGCAAATTAAAGAAATTCTTTTTTGACAGCTTTGTTTCATTACGATAATCACGAAAGTTTAAATAGAATATATATTAGTGAAATCAATTATATCTATAGGAACTGGCTAAAAACAGTGGAATTGCAAATGAACTTTTTAAACGTAAATTAATATGAATTAATTTTCCATAATGTGGTGTGTGCGATAGACTTGACTCAACGCATATTTGCAACATGGGGTGTGCGATAGACTTAACTCCACGCGTGCACCCTGGGCAACGTATACTCACACGGCAAAAAAGTCCGTGCACCCTGGGCAACGTATACTCATACGGCAAAAAGTCTTTTAACTGCACCCTGGGGAACGTATACTCATACGGCAAAAAAGTCTAACACCCTGGGCAACGTATACTCATGCGACAAAAAAGTCTAAACTGGTGCACCCTGGGCAACGTATACACGGCAAAAGAGTCCGTGGTGCACCCTGGGCAACGTACACTCACACCTTACCTCCACGTGGTGCACCCTGGGCAACGTATTCTCATTCGGCTACCTCCACGTGGTGCACCCTGGGCAATGTATACTCATACACCTCAACGCGGTGCACCCTGGGCAACGTATACTCATACGGCGAAAAAGTCTATTAACCGGCAGTTGACTTCTGACGTCAAACTACCATCTCCCCACTGTATGTCAAATTCGACCCATTACACAGTACTTATCTTACCTATTCTCTCTTTTTGTATCTGCCTGTCTCCTTTTAAATCTGTCCTCCTCTCGTCTTTTTGTCAATTTGATGTTTCTCCTCCTCTCTATGAAGCCCGAAGTCAGCAAAATGACTAATGATAACTATCAAAATGCCTGCCGGTTGAAATAAATAAATTTTTCATAATGTAGCTCTACATTAATTGGCGAATATCTTTCAACCTAACCTAAATCTTGGAATTGAGAGTGAAATATATTAAAATAAATTTATTATAGGAAAGGGAAGGTGAATGGGTGGGGGGGGAGGGGGGTAGAGGAATGTATAAATATTTTGGAAATGACTTCGAACGGGCATGTCACGCGCCATTTCTGGTAAGAGATGACACTTTTACTGTATTTACTATTTGATCTTGCTCATTTGCGAGTTCTGAGTGTAATTTCGTTTATGCGTAGGGCTGCTATAGACAAGACTCAGCTAACAAGCATGAGCACCATTTATTGATCTACACAAATAAATCGATTAAAATGTGCTCTATTTATCAAAACGACATAATCACTGCATTATTTCAGATTTTGATGTCAATTTCAAAATTTTGGTTATTTATGGGTGGGTTTTGAATTTTTGAGTGCAAATACGACTTTATTTTACTCATAATGAAAATTGACATTGGGAAATTAGGTTTAAGTCCGAATTATTGTGTGAAATATGGAGTGGATTTATATTTTGTTAATATTGATCTTTCAATTCAAATTCTATTAATTAATTTGTATAATGAGTTGTAAACCTTAAATAGATAATAAATTTAGGATACTGGGAGCCTTACTTCCTGAAACGAATGCTAAACAAATAAGTCTTGACTAAGCCCTGACAAACTTTTTTGGCAAAATCCCTCGAACTTCTCTGAACTACATCAAGAGCATTGAGGGTGCAGGATGGATCGATATTTATTTATATCAAACGGCAGGCGTCTTGATGGTTACCATTAGCTCTTTAGTTGAC